CACAATTAATAATAATTTACTGAAATAGTATTGTCAAGCTGTCTACAGATAGTCAAGCTTCTAAATAGCTTATATATATATTTTATATTATTCATTGTCAAAATAAACTTGCAGATAATTAATAATTATCTGATAATTGATAACAGATAATTGCAGTCTATATATTAACTGGATCGATAAAATCATTGAAATAATAAAAAATATTTATCTTCAATATAATAAAAGTAATATTCAATTCAACAAATCAACAATGTAAAATAAAATAGAGAAAGCATCAACATGACTAGTGTAACGCATGTGTCAGGATATATTGGGCATGTCACCAACGTCAATGGGTATCCTCTACATAAATGTAGAGGGCCCAATTAGATGTTTATCATGTCTTCCTTGACTACACCCAAGGAACTGTCAGCTCATGTAAAGGAGGGAAGGAAAAAAGAAGAAACTTTACAAGAATTGTCCATTACTAATAAGATAATATATATAAATAGTTCACATCGATATATCCATTAACTAAAATAAAATAATGTGACCACATAGTTAAATAACCAACAAAAAAGAAAATAATGAATCAAAATACGCACACTGTGCAAAGATACAAAAAGACAAAATACCACATTACAATTATGATGGAGTCCAAAAAATAGAAAATGCAGTTGTTGTACGACGTTCAATTTTTGAATTACCTGTTTAGTTACCTGTGACTTTATACTCATCATAATTTTATTTCGTTACAAACTTTTACCTTTCTTTCCTTCTTTCTCTCGTCTTAAAATTATTTTTTTGGTTTATTGCACTTATACATAATGTAATCGATTAAATGTACCAATTGTAAAAGTATGTTCAATTTGACACTATACTGTCCCACACATATACAAAGTTGAACAGATCTAACTGACAACTCATGTAACTTATGATGCACATAATAGTATATACTTTTTCTTTTCTTATCAATTTTTACAATATTGGACTATATTTAAAATATGTCTTTTGTTCTTTTTCGCAATAACAAAAAATATTTTAGAAATAAAATTTTATTATTAAAATTTTGTTTAAGATTTGAAGATAGCCATTTTATAGAAAAGTTTTAAAGAAAAATTTTGGTACCACCAACTTTTATTTTAATTTTGTAGTTACGTTTATACAGCATTTTAAAATGAGTTAAATTTTTTTTGCGATTTTCCTATGAAACTAAATATTAATCAATCACGTGTAAAAGACGCAAGTAAACATTGTCTTTTTATGTCATTTACTGATAAAAATTTGCGATTTATACTCTATGATAATCATTAACACTTGAATAAACATTTGTAGTTGACATGAAAAAAACAAGTAGTAGTAAAACTAAGTTTATAAAAAAAAATTATAAAAACGTTGTCCAAAACATGTTATAATAAGTAATAGCGAATAAGTGAATTTATTATCATATCTCCTAACAAGTAATATCCTATAATGATATGATATAAATGATAAACTCACGCAATTAATAATTATAATTTTTAACTTGGCTATACATCGAACATTTGTCGTTAACAAACGATAATGTTTCTAACATTTTGTAATAAAAATTAGAGATAATCATTTCAGTAAAAAAAGCGTTAAAACGTTATTATTACCTATGGAAAAGAAATTACGTTCTGTTATGTTGTAATATCGATGCATATTACTTTTAAATAATTTTTAAAATATTTGGATGTAAATTATAAGAAAAATACAATGCCAGAAAAATTGTATTATACCAAATTGATATCATTTTAAATGCTTTGTAATTTAAATATATATATATTGTGTATTAGTTATCTAAGTCATGATTACCATGTAATAAATTGTAAAATTATAATAATAAAACAGTTTAAAAAGGCAGTACGGCATTCGAGATTACCAAAAAAATAAGTGATGGAGACCATCAACTATATAAAGAAAAATGCTAAGGTAGCACTCATATACTGTCACACTTACTCTGTTCTGCTTTTCTCTCCTTTTTAATACATCAGCACAGTAGGGATTTGATAAAGTAGAATAACGTAGCACAGTACGGAACATATTAGTGGTGTCAGCTAATCACTTAGCGATTCAGCTCAACACGGCGGAAAATGAGCAAAAAACAATTTACCGTACGCTTCCTGTCACTTATAAATCTCATTTTTCCGTTCAAATTATTTCTATCTGACTACAATTTATTTTGAGAGTCTAAATAAAGACAACAGAAGGCGAGTCGATTTTATTATCTCTTATAAACACATTTTAATGACTAGAAAAATACATAGCATTTTTTAACCAAACAAAAAAATTCTTGGAGCGATGCCTCCATGTTGTTGCCGGACAATTTTTGTTTGTATTGAGTCATACCAGATGTTCCGTCTAACTCTTATTAGCTTATAAGTGTCAAACTTTGATTGCTTATTCTATGGTATACTTCCACCGCTTATCAAACTCATAAAAAAAAATTTACGTTTTTTTCAGTTAATTGTAATAAACCAAAAAATAAAAAGAGGAGTTAAAGGATATATGACAGAGTGTAAAAGGTGAAAAGGGTGTAATATGATTAAATAATATAAATAAAAAGGGTGTTTAGAAAGGTGAGTAAACGGTGGCAGAACATATAAGTAAAATGGTCTAATAAATAAAATAAACATAATCGTTTATGACTAAATAGTTGATTTATCTTGGAGGTTGATTAATATTAAATAAATGATGTTAAATGTACATTACAAAATTGTATAATTTATCTTAATTACGCAATAGATTGAGGTTCAAAAGCGTAGGTTAAATTGTAAGTACCTTATGTCCTACGTCACGCTATATTTTAAGTAATCTAATGTTGATAATGTATATTAAATGTACTATGCATACGTTTCACTCTATACGTTGCATAGTTAATATAATTATTTACGAAATCGATTCATTTTTAAATAATACGAAATCGTTATACAAAATTTATGACTAATTTTTATGTGTAAAAAATCCTGAACACTGTATTTTTAATATATTTTTTTAATATATCTTTATAATCTGCCCTTATTTATTTTTATATAATGGTCCAATGAGTATTTTTTTTTTTTGAGAGATCGACACCAATATTTCTTAAATATTCTTCTGGCTTGGCTAAAACAAAATTTGAAAGTATTTATATCTTAGTAAAAATTTTATCAAGTCGGTATTGTGGTGGCCCAATTAGTCCCAACGCTAAAGTTTTGAATAGATGTGGTATAATAATCACAAAAATAATAAAGACAAAAATTAAATACTAAAAGTATATTTGTAACTTTTCACGCGTTGTCTGCCGGCGCGATGTTCCTTAAAATAAAGACATTAAGCTCAAAGACTAGCTATCCACTAAGTATAGGATACTTAGTCACAATACACTTAGTCCAATAAAATTATTATTAAGTTAAATTAAATCTTAGTTTAAACTGAGAAAATTGTGATCTATAGCTTTGTCACGTGACTCGATGTTCGTTAGAACAAAGACATTAAGTTCTAACTAATTATCCAATAAGAATAGTCACAATCAATGATTACCTTTTAATTAATATTTAAAGTTAGGTTGGATTTATTATTATGATAAGATAATATAAAAAAAAATTGTTTTTCGTTTAAAATATTAATTGATGTTTATTTCCATAATTAGAAAAAAAAACATTTATTTTTATTAAACAAATAAACTTAAATTAAAAAGGAGAGAAAAGCAGAACAGAGTAAGTGTGACAGTATATGAGTGCTACCTTAGCATTTTTCTTTATGTAGTTGATGGTCTCCATCACTTATTTTTTTGGTAATCTCGAATGCCGTACTGCCTTTTTAAACTGTTTTATTATTATAATTTTACAATTTATTACACGGTAATCATGACTTAGATAACAAATATACAATATATATATATTTAAATTACAAAGCATTTAAAATGATGAACGTGTATAATTATTATAAGTTCTAATTATAAATGTGTTAACACACATTTGCACAATTTTTAAAATATAAATATAATATTGAAAAATTTAATATGGCTTCTATTTGGCAGAAATGATTTATTTTGATTTTATCTATTTCAAAGTACTAGGTAAGGGAAATGTTATCCGAGTAGTGAAGTCATACAACTTTAATTAACACAATTGAAAATTTTTTATCGTCTATAATTTATTTTTTTGGTTACTATTCCTATTGATAGGCAATTATAATATTTTTGATTGAATATTTCTATGGTCACTTAGCCATAGAAATTTTATAGTAAATCATAATCAGTATGATACATATTTTTTCTGAACCTTATAAACCAAACACTTATAAAATAATAATCACTTTAAAATTATATAAAATTTTTTTAATATTTATGAATAAATATATCATAGAAAAAAAGTTTTAATGAGTTTATACTACATTTTTATAAACAATGTGTAAAAATCGGATATTTTTTAGAAAATTATTCATGTATCATATTCGTAAAACGGAGTCATCAAGTTCTTAGCCCATAATATTTGAGATATAGTTTTCCACAGGTATAATGAAGTATAATAAATTCACAAAAGACGGGTTTAAAGTGTAACTCAGCAGTGATAAATTCACTCAACACAAATATTTTAGTAATAATTAACATGTAATAATTATAAAAGCAAAGAATATTAAGATTAGTTGTAACTTAAAAAAAAATTATTATCTGGAACTCCATGTTAAATTTTTATTCACTAGTTTGATATTAATCGTAACTCATTAATAAGTAATTTAAAAGTTGTCAACTTTTACGTGGTCCGCTATTATACCCAGAATATCTTGTTGGGTTTAGAAACATGCAAATATAATTTCCTCTTAAATTAGTACTGTATCATAGACTTCAATTCATATATAATAACAATAATTCATATTTATCATAATCAAGAAAAAATAAATATTAAAATTCATTATATTTATTGATATTTTCTAATTTTATTTTTTTTAGCATACAGTCTCAAAAAAATAAATTTAAACAATAATAAAACGTAATAAGNTTTATTTTTTTTAGCATACAGTCTCAAAAAAATAAATTTAAACAATAATAAAACATAAAATTTGAATATGAAAAATATTTTATTTACTTTTTAAAAAAATGTATGATTATTATTATTTTAATGATTGTTGAATCATTTTTTATGGATACCGATAGTTAAATCTTTATATACATATGTATAACATAGTGGAAATAAACTCATCATCATCACCAAATTCTAAAATCATCTTGACAATGTCTTTTAACAGCTCTAAAACAAAGTATAATTATAAATTATATTAATTGGAATCTTTACACATTGATTTTGGTGAGCATAAAAGATTGATACATTATCATTATACAAACAGCTGTTTTACGCAACTCTTTGTTGGTAATCTTGGAGACTTAAACGTTAGGTCACAAAATAAATTAGTAACACTAACTCCTACGTATTTACATTCGTGTAAGTTTGGTTGCATAAACATTTCAAGGAGTAAATTTTTATTTTTTTGATAAAACTATGTCGAACAAAGGAGATTCCCCTCTTCCTGTCATTAGAGGAACTTCCAGCCGGACTGGCAGTAGTGTGAAAACTTCATCAGTAGTAAATTCTATCTCTAATGAGGATTTGATGTCTGCAATGAAATCTTTCAAATCAGACATTCTTTCAGCCAATAAGAGCTTATCTGATCGTCTTGATAAACAATTTAGTGGACTTAGAGAGGAATTTAAAAACTTATTGACGCAAATATCTGAATTAAAAAATGAAAATATCAAATTGCGTGGTGAACTTGAAATTTTAAATACGAAAGTAATAAAATTAGAGGCGTGTAATGTTAATAGTCAGCCATCTACTATTGTAAGTCAAGTACTACATGAATCCTTTGAAAGAGAAAAATGTTCGACTAACATTATTGCTTATGAAGTACCGGAGTCTTCATCCTCAACTATGCCTGAACGTATCAACGATGACATAAATGCATTGGTTGCTCTTCTCAAGCCTCTTGGCAGAGCTGTTCCGCCAACTTTTAAGGTTGTTCGTTTAGGCAAAATGCGTCCAAATTTCAATCGCCCACTGAAAATTATTTGTGAGACGAAAGAGGTAGCTGTTCAACTCTTAATGGATTATAGTTCAAGTAAACGTGATGGAGTATTGTTTTCTGATAATTTTCGTATCGTGCGAGATAAAACCCCTTTGGAACGTCAACTGCTGCGTGCATGTCATGAAGAACTTGATCACAGGACTTCTAACGGAGAAAAAGATTTGAAAATTGTGTATAAGAATGGTATACCGGTCGTTTCATCATCTGGGTTAAAAAACGGGATAACGGACCGACATACACATCATCGTCACTACTAGACAATTCATCATCCAAGTTTTTTGTCGACGGATTCTATCAAAATTGCCGTGGTCTCCGCACTAAACTTCATATTTTTAATTGTAATGTATCCTCCTTAAATTGTTTATTTGTGGTTTTAACTGAAACCTGGTTAACCGACTCAATATTGAGTAGTGAACTAGGTCTTATAAATTATAATGTATATAGATATGATAGATGTAGTTTATCAAGTGTAAGTTCTCGTGGTGGTGGTGTCCTTATTGGTATAAGAAAAGATATTAATTCTTGCCTTATAAAAATTTCTGAGTTAAATGTTGAACAATTGTTAGTTAAATTTTCTATTGGCGNTTCTGAGTTAAATGTTGAACAATTGTTTGTTAAATTTTCTATTGGCGCTGATCTTTTTGTAATTGGTGGTGTCTATATTCCTCCTAATTCTCCCTCTAGTCTTTATGATATCCACACACAATCTGTTGAGTATATTATTCAACAATATCCAAATCATACTTATATATTTTGTGGTGACTACAACTTACCTGAAATAATTTGGAATAACGATGTTAATGGACTTATATACTCCTGTCCATCAACTCTTCGCTGTTCTTCTATTCCTGAAACATTTGCTATGAATGGTTTTTTTCAAAAAAATTCTGTAGTTAATGTTCATAATTCTATCCTAGATTTAGTATTTTGTAACAATAACTATCTTACAGTAGATAAAAGTCTTGACTCTTTAGTCTCACTTGATGCTTATCATCCTGCTTTATATTTATCCCTTAGTTCTAATGCACAATTAAATGACTGTGATAATTCTCATGAATATTTTGATTTTAAAAAATCTAATTTTATTAATATTTGTTCTTTTATTGGAGCCTTTAATTGGAAATCTACTTTAGAGCCTCTTGACGCTAACTCTGCCACTAATGTCTTTTATGATGTGTTGCATAAATGTGTTCTCGATTTTGTACCCAAACGTCGCTTTAGTGTTTCGACTTACCCAGTGTGGTTTACTAAAGAGTTGAAACTTATCCTCTTTCAAAAGAAACAGGCCCATGCGTTGTATAAAGCAGATACTAATTCTTCTAACTACAAGACTTTTTCTTTTTGGCGTGCTAAATTTAAATTTGAGTCAAAAAAATCTTATCGAAAGTATGTTGAAAATGCTGAAAAATCACTTAAAAATAATCCTAGACACTTTTGGAAGTTTGTAAAAAATTATAGGACTTCTAACAGTATTCCAAAAGTATTGTCCTTTAATGGCGTAACTTCTTCAAATGAACAAGAAGTAGCTGATCTCTTTTCCTCTTATTTTTCCTCTACCTACTCTATTGATAAAATAAATCTCGATAACAAACAACTAGGTATTTTACAGTATGACTTACCAAGTTCGGTAAGTCTAAGTATTTATGATGTTCACCAGGAGCTTTGTTACTTAAAGAGGAATTGGTCTGTTGGTCCGGATGGACTATGTGGTGAGTTGCTCTTCCAGTTGAGGTCATATATTGCTTTTCCTCTTTGGCTAATTTTCAGTAAATCCTTACATGAAGGCATTTATCCGTCTATTTTTAAATTAAGTTCTATAACACCAATTCCCAAAACCACTAACTCTGCTTCTGTGTCTGATTATAGACCTATTTCTGTTCAGTCTCACATTTCAAAAATTTTTGAAAAGCTCGTCCTTAATGTAATTCGTCCTTCATTAAAACATATAATTTTAGAGGAACAGCATGGCTTTAGTCCTGGGCGCTCAACTACCACTTGCAACTTGGTTTTTTGTAATTTTGTTTTAAATGCTTTTGAACAAGGCTCCCAGGTTGATGTGCTTTACACAGATTTCAAAAAGGCATTTGATTCTGTTAATCATGAAGTTCTTCTTAATATACTTAAATTAAATGGCTTTGGGGAACCTCTTTTAACATGGCTTAACTCCTATTTAAAAGAAAGATATACNTATAGACCTATTTCTGTTCAGTCTCACATTTCAAAAATTTTTGAAAAGCTCGTCCTTAATGTAATTCGTCCTTCATTAAAACATATAATTTTAGAGGAACAGCATGGCTTTAGTCCTGGGCGCTCAACTACCACTTGCAACTTGGTTTTTTGTAATTTTGTTTTAAATGCTTTTGAACAAGGCTCCCAGGTTGATGTGCTTTACACAGATTTCAAAAAGGCATTTGATTCTGTTAATCATGAAGTTCTTCTTAATATACTTAAATTAAATGGCTTTGGGGAACCTCTTTTAACATGGTTTGACTCCTATTTAAAAGAAAGATATCAATGGGTGAAATTGTTTGGGACACAATCTAAACTATTTTTAGCTTCCTCTGGGGTACCACAAGGTGGACACTTGTCTCCGTTGTTATTTTCATTATTTGTAAATAGTATAAAAAATGTATTATTAAACTGTAAATTTTTGTGCTTTGCTGACGACATGAAGTTGTTCTTGCAAGTAAGTTCTACTGATGACTGTATTATGCTACAGAATGACCTAGATAAATTTACATTATGGTGCTTAAACATAGGTTTAACCCTTAACTTTGAAAAATGTCGTGTTATGACATTCACTAGATCTCGGTCACCTATTATTTTTTCTTATAGTCTTTGCGGTGCTAATGTTGTAAGAATTAATGATTCTGTACTTGACCTTGGTTTTAAATTCAGTAAAACATTGGATCCTAAGTGTCACATAGAAATGGTATGCTGTAAAGCGTTGAAAAAGCTCGGCTTTATAATAAGATTAGCTGCTAACTTAAAACTAAATTCTTCGCTAAAAATATTATATTCTTCATTGGTTCGGCCAATTGTAGAATATGGTTCTATTGTTTGGAACCCTCATTCCTTATCTGATGCCACCCAAATTGAAAGGGTACAACGGAGATTTTTGCGGCATGCTGGATTTATATTGGGTATCCAACATGACCCTCATGATTATTCTCCAGTTGCAAACAACCTTAATTTATCGTCACTGACTGATCGTAGAGTTGCTGCAGGCATTAAATTTCTAAATGAATTGCTGAATGGAAATATTGATTCACCATATCTTCTAAATTTAATAAATTTTAAAGTTCCTCAGAGAAATTCTCGTTCCTATTTTCTTTTTTTTATCCCCATTTGTTCTACCAATTACTTACAAAATGAGCCCATTAGAAGAATTTTAAATAGTGCCAATATGGACCCACTTATGTTATCTTGTTAACCACCTTATTTTTGTATTTTTCTTATTTTTCTTATTTTTGTACCTCATAGCAGCTTGTATTTTTATATACCTATATTCGTATATTTCTGTTGAATCACTGTGAATTACTCCGTAATGTTATTTATGTTTCTGTTGAATTACTCACTTATGTTATGTATGTTTAAATTGTTATTAATCTAAATTGTAAAAAAGGGCTATGCCCGTTAAATTTATAAATAAATAAATAAATAAAATGATTACAATTATACGAGGTACTGATATTCCTAAAAATAAATGTAAAAGTTACTCGGGTAAGCTTTAAATATACCCATTAGGAATATTTAATGGTCAGAACAATAATTTTGATGTTATTGGATTGTAAGATTTATAAAGTACCGTGCAATTTTTAACACACTTATATTAATTTCACTGGTATGTGTGATGTGTGTTTGTAACACTCCACGCGGCACGTGTTATTATTCTCGCGTATCCCGTCGTCTAGACTAGACGTCGTAACGCATTCACCCCACCCCGCTCACCAATCGCCGACAACACTAATCCTATATAATTTTATATTTTTGGTTTTCGTACCCGTAGACGCGTGCCTGTCATTAATTATATATATATATAAACAAATTTTTATTTTGACTGACCAATACCGCACGCGTCTAATGCGCCTTACGTATATATATTTATATATTCCTACCGACGCTGTCGCCGTTTATACCATAGGTATAACGTTACCCCCGCCCACAAAACAAAGCTATACCTAGTGCATGATACGTTTACGTACTTATGTCGCCTTACTATATATATGTATGTGTATATATTTATATATATTCCTACAGCCGCATATGCCTCGCGTACAACGTTTCCCCGCGCCCCGCCCGAACACAAATTACAGCTATACCTCGTGCATTATACGCTTACGTATTTAAGTCGCTTGAAACGTATATATATATATATCTAATTACTATTAAAAATATATATTAACACGCTTCATTCTCATTAAGAGATACAGAGTGTAATCATTCCGATTACAAAGGATCCTTTGTACCGTATCATCATTTTTCGACACTACCTCTATGTTCCGGGAGTGAGTAATTTACGCGCCTGCTGCTTTCTTTGGATGTGGTACCCGTTTCTCAGACTCCCACCCCGAAATCGAACCCTGTATTCCCGTTACCCGTTACAACCATGATATTGATAGTAACTTCTATCATAACATGAAACTAAAAAGTAAAAAATAAATATAGTTTAAAAAAACTAAAAAAAGTTGCTATTTTAAATCCTCCCCAATGAGCAGGTTAAGTGATAGATTTTCAAAAAAATNCCCCCCAATGAGCAGGTTAAGTGATAGATTTTTCAAAAAAATGATATCAAATAAAAGGTAAATATTTAAGGTTTTAGTATAAAAAAAATTATGTTGATTTGTTGATTTTTCAAAAAGTTATGGAAGTTTTAAGAAAAAAAAGTGAAAAAATTTCGAAAATTAGCGATTTTTAAATTTGTAATTTTTTTGGATATTTCCCCCATTTGCGGGGAACGAGGGAATTTTTTTCAATTTTTAAGGGTAATGTCTTCAACTAGATACGATTTGTGATCTTTTGACGTATTTTTGAAAGAAATCGGTCCAGTGAGAGCTGAGAAAAAGTGGCAACAGACATAAAAAAAAAAAAAAACACATCATAGTAAAATTAATATCTTCTCAGCTTCGCATCGAAGCTAAAATCATAGTAATCATTTCTGATTAACTTTTGGTGTTTAAAAAGATTATAAAATGGATATTCAGAACTTAATTAATTTTAATGATTTACTTTAACTAAAAGAACAAATAAAAAAAATGTTGTTAAAAAGATTTACTCAATTGAACGTATTATAAAATTTGATTATAATTGTAAATATCCATTGTTAAATTCAGATGAAACTAAAAATCATTTTTTTTTTTTTTAATTAATGATTTATATAGCAACATGTTACAAAGAAATTTGGAATATTATAGACTGGATATAGCACACACAAGTAGAGTTAAAAAATTAATAAATTACAAAGTAAAATAAATATAGTTTTAAAAAAACTGAAAAACACGCTTTTAAAGGTTATCGAACTAAAAAGTTAAAAATAATTTTAAAAATAAGCTTAAAACAATAACGAACGAAAAATATTAGTATAGTAATATATAATATTGATGATACGTCCACATGTACGGGTATGAACATAAAAAAATTATACAGGAGAATAATGTTTTACGGTGAGTGTTGAGCGGGGTGAGGTGAATGCGTTAAGATAGTCAAGTCTCAAGGCCATAGACGACGGGATATGAGAGATAATAACACGTGACGCGTGGAGAGTTACAAACAATACATATAAATGTGAATCTAATAAAAGCGTGTTAAAAACCAATTTATTAATTTCAACCAAAAATGTTCATTGTCTACTATTTTTTTTTACAAAATTTGAGTCTTATAACCGAAATTTTTATAATGTATTTGGATACGTCTGGACTGTTCCAGACGACTTTGAGTCTATTAAGCGACTGAAACTTATATCTATGAGTCTTATAAGCGACGTCCACTGTAATACGGAAGTTTATTTGATATCTTATCAGATATTTATTGCAATGGTTTAAATGATAAAACAATTCTAATAATTCCCGATAATCACAGATATCAATTATCATAATTGAAAATAATATAGTCAAAAGTTGAAATAAATTCTACTTGGTTTTTATGAAATTATTTTAGCTTCGATGCGAAGCGGAGAAGGTATTAATTTTACTATGATGTGTTTTTTTTTTTTTTT